CCTGGGGCTGCAGACTCTCATTCTAGTGCCCGCTCCCTTGCACCGCAGTCTCTTTGCAGGTAGCCACAGCAGGAAACACTGCACCCCCTCCTGTGTATGAACCGTGTGTTAGACATACGCTAAAGACAAGGATTCTGGAAGATAGGGCTGGTACCATGCTGCAGGAAAAGGCTAGAAGCTGTTTGCTCTGGTGCCCAGGGCACAGAAGGGGACAAAGGGCAAGGAGACAGAGAACTTTCAGCCCGGGCGGGGGGGAGGGGGGGACAAGGGGCCGAAGAAAGGGCAGTGTGTTCTGGGTGCATGCTCAGGGGGGGTGTGCTCCGGAGGGGGTGCTCAGGCATGCCCAGGGCCACAGGCTTGGCCATGCCTGGGAGGGATGCACAGGGTGGTCTAAAGAGAAGGAGGCCTGAGTTTGGAGAGTTTATTGCAGTGAAGCAGGAAGAAGGTGGTCCCTCGGCTGCTTTGTCACCCCTGGAGGAGAAGGGAGACATGGGAAGGGTGGGGGAAAAAGCCACGTCCTCCCTCCATAAGGAGACCCTGGTTCAGGCCGGCAGCCGCTACAGGAAGGAGATGTGTGAGAAGAGATGGTGGAAGCTGGAGAAGGTGAAGCTGGCCCGGCCCGAGAGACAACCTTGAGAGAGAGGAGGGGCAAAACCGAGCTGGTGTGTAGTGTAGGGGGAGGGGAGGGGCCGGCGGGGGAAGGAGAGGAGAACGCTCCAGACAGTGGAGGGGCGGGGCAGAGCCCTGTCCACCTCCGTCTGTCTGCCTCCCTCCTTGGGGCCCGAGCAACAAGGACGCAGACACAGGCATGTGGGTGCTGGGCCGCCCACGTGCCTGTGGGGTGGGGGCAGAGATGGGGGGCAGTATGTCCTTGAGCCCTAGGGCTTTCCTGAGCTCAGATCCTCCGAAGCCACAACCACCTCATTACCTCATGTGCTCCATCAGGATTCGGGGCCCTGACGGCCTTGAGGCAGGCTCAGGACTCAGGTCTGCGGGCAGCTCCCATTTTTTCAGCCCGGGAGATGCTCTCCCCACTCCTTGCTGGTCAAAAAGCTCTCCGGGGCTGGGGAGGGAGGGGACTCATCCTTTGCTCCAGCAGCTGGGGATGAGATTTCCCTTTTCTCTTGCAGGAGTTCCCAAGAAATGATGACTTATTTAAGTAATCTCTATACCCCACGTGGGGCTCGAACTCACAACCAGAGATAAAGAGCCTCGTGCTCTTCCGACTGAGCCAACCAGGTGCCCCCGGTCTTGTTTTCCTATATGTTAAATCATCTCGCTCTTGAACAAATCACTCAGGCTCCCATAGTCTATCTGGAAAGTAGGGGTAAAAACACCTTCCTCACAGAGTTTGGTGGGACTATACATTAAGTCCCAGATGTAAAAGAGCTCTGTAGAGGGCAAATTCGCAGCACAAACATAAGAGATTATTCCTCAGGGAAGAGACTAGGGAGGAAGAAAAGTCTAGGTGGGGTCACTCCCTGGCGCCCTCCATTCCCCACCCATCCCCTCTGGCCCTGGCCTTGCTGTGGAGCTGAGGACGGGCAGGTGGAGGGCAGTCCCTGCAAACTCCCGCTGCTGGTGTTCCCCCCCGCCCCCATGAGCCTCACAGAACAGGGCTGGGCAGAGAGCCCAAGGCCATGGGGTGCTGAAGAGCGGAGAGGTGCTTCTTCCTACAGGGCTGGCAGGACGGCCCCCTAGGGAGCCATCCAAGAGCCAGGGCCGTCATCAAGATGGCCAAGGTTGAGCACAGGTGCTGATGGCCACTGATGACCCAGATGAGGGAGGCTTGGAGAGTCCCGCTCTTGGAAGAGGTGGATTTTGAGCCAACCTCGGACTGTTCCCTGGTGGTGAGGCTGCTCTTGTGCCTGACTGCCCCTCTCTCCCCGCTGTGGTCTCCTCCTCTGGCTCCCATCCACCCACCCTCAGTGTTGGCCATTTGGCAGGACAGGAGGGCCTCGCGCTGGATAAAGAGGTGCTCTCTGCTCCCAGGCCGGGAGCCTGACCCTAACCGCTTTAGGTCCCCGAGAAGTCGGAACCCCAGCTCCTTCTTGTCAGGATGGAACAGCTGCTGGGAGCTGCCTCGGATTTCTCGCCCCGCCCAGCCCCTCTCTGGATTCCGGAGGGGCCTGGGGACAGATGCGCTGTTTAGAATTTCTTCAGCAAGGCAGCCAACAAGGACATTCTTTCTATTCCTTGGGCTTCCCTAGCCCCAAATGGGAGATTAACGAGGAGACAGCTGCACAGGCAGCCGGTCCCCTGGGAGATCCTGTCCCAGCCTCAGGAAAGCAACAGTCAGGAGCTGCCTCCCTCCACTGGCCTTGAAAGGGGCGCCCACGCAGACGTGAGGCATGAGAGCAGGACTTGGGACCCCGTGCTGGGAGGGACCCTGTTTTGAATCCAGGCTCTGCCGCTTACTGCTGTGTTCCTCGGGCCCTGGCCCTTCTGTACGCCTGTTGCCTCACCTCCAGCGTGGGATAAACATCCCTACTTTCTTCGGTTTTTGTTGGGATTGGATGAGTTGATGTGCATAATGGCTTCTATTATGGTATCTGGCAAGTTCCAGGAGTCCCGGAATTACTGGCACCCTTCTCTGCCCTAGAGAGGGGGTCAGATGATTTTCTGTACTCAGCACAGATTAACCTAGGGGCATGTGTGTATGATGTGGCTTCTAGCCCCCAGGAACCCCAGTTCTGGAAAATTCTCTGTTTTTTTTTTCAAGCCATGGTTTCTTGCTGTTGGGGATCTTGAGGCTTTCAGCTGTTGCATGCCTAGGCCTTGTCGTAATCCAATAAAGCAGGACATGGAAGGAGATAGGACTGGTGGATGAGAGAGAGACAGAGAGACAGAGAGACAGGGAGAGGCAGAGAGATGGAGAGCCCTCCTACTGTAACGAGCTCCTTGGAAGACAGGAAGAGGAAGGGGAAGAACTTCACTGTTCTGAAATTCTACTGTTCTCTACTGCTCTGAAAGGCAGGGAGCTATTGGCTCACAGTTTTCCCGGTCCCAGTGCCAGAATCCCTGGGTCTCTAGGAGAGAGGGGGCAGGCAGTGCAGGAACCATGAGGGCCCCTCTCACCTTTAAGACTTCCCACTCCGTTTGCAGCCTGTGTGTTGTGTCTCGGTCCAAGCCTCAGCTAGCCACGTGAGCTCCAGGAAGCGCTTTTATCTTCTGGAGTTCTTGATTTCTTCATCTCAAGAATGTGACTGAGAATCCCTGCCTTGTCTGCTTACAGGACTGTCCTGAGGATCCAAAGTACTTGGAGGGGTGCTAGACATGCAGGGGATGCAGATGAGTGCAATCGCTGTCATGTGGGCCCAGCCAGACTTGGGGACCCCCCACCATGTCCCGCACCTTGAGTGATTGCCTTGACAATGGAGTGCCTGGCTAACTCCTACTTCTCCCTCAGGTTTCAGCTTAGATGTTGTTTCCTACAGGTCTGCTGGCCTCCTAGACTGGGTCTCCCCCCGGAAGCTCCCGTAGCACATCTTACCGTCGGTGTGATGAGTTATATAGTGTGGTTGTGTGACTCTTGCCCATGTGTTTCTGTGCCAGACTCTAAGCTCCACGAGGAAAAGGAATACGTCTGTTACACGTCATCTCATCACCAGCATGGGACACGGTGCCAAGCGCATGGCAGGTAGGTGCTCAATAAAATTGCCTGCCTCAACCCTCTTCTATGCTTCAGTCAATCCCCGATGCCAAGCACCCGTCTATTAGATCCCTCTTGCCCAACATCTCCTTATAAGGAGAAGGGTGACATCTCTCCTCTCTTTATAAATTCAAGGAACAAGTCAACTAGTTCATAGCTGGCCTTCTTCCCATCTCCCATCACAGCGGACCTCGCCCAGAAGCCAAGGTTGCAGGTGAGAAATGGCTGTATTTATTTATTTCTCTGCACGAGGCTGCCCTCTGGTGGTTAACTATGGAAGAGGGCAAGGCAAGGATGGAAACCCGTGGGCTGGTGGAGCCACGCTCAGAGGCTGTCCAGTAAGCCAGGAACAGGGGAGCGCTACAAAGAGGGCATCCAAGTGAAGATTCCTGTCAGTCTCCATCCTTATGAATGGCTCCCTCTAGATCTAACAGGAAGCCCTTGGCCTAGGAAGAGCAAGAAAATAAAGTAAGTCCCATAGAAACCCCAACCTACCCCTAGTGGGTGAAATAGCTCTTCTTTCTCCTCAGTGGTGCGCTGGCAAATGCTTAACAACCATCTTTCTCTCTCAAAGGATCCAGGTGTGTAGCATTTACTGATTTCTGGGGTGTAAATATTCTCACCATGGCCAATTTCAAACGACCAACGTGATGTCACTGAGTGTCATTGGGAAGAGATGAGCTCGAGGGCTATGTCATTATATAGTATGTCATAGACACAAATAAGTTCAAGAACATGGTTACTAGTAAAATATAGTCAAATAATGGGAAAGGAATGAGTTGGAGTATTTATTACATTTTTTTCAACCTAATATATTTAAATGCGAGCTTATAATTTAATCTTTAATAAAAGCTGTGTTTAACGACTGGCTTACAAAATTCTGGAAAATGTAATAATTAGTTCTGCAAGCAAGCCTAGTAGTAAGAGCTGGCTAAAGCACGCCACTGCTTCTCCCGGTTCCTCCTTCTTTTTCTCCTCTTCCTCTTCCATGACTTCCCGGCATTCCGCGTGGGTAGGGGGATGGGGAATATGGCAATGAGCTTTGCTGTAGACGCTCCTCTTCTCTGAGTCAGGAGCCATAAGGTGTTAAGCAAAGAGGATGAGAAATGCAAATCTGGCTACTGAAGGACATTAACGCACGCATGTGTCTATGTGTCTCTGTGTGTGCATGCGTGTGTGCGTGCGTGTGTGTGTGTGCACGAGCGTGTAGAAGGTGGCGGAAGGGAGTGGGGGTGAGTTTTGCAACTGGATCCGGAGGCCGATTCCGGCCCGAGCGAAAGGCCACTGTGTGGAGGCGGTGGGCGCCTGTGGAAGGTGGTGAGGGCCCTCCCCAGCGTGGGCAGCTGAGCTAGCAGCAGCGGCCGGTGGGGAGGCGCGGCAGGCAGAAGTAGGCGCTGGGGAAGAGGCCCAGGTTGATGGGATTGCCGTCCAGGCGGATGTCTTCCAGCTGCCTCCGGCTGTGTTTGTGCTCCTCGGAGTCACAGAAGGCATCGCTCTGCATGGTCTCTATCATGTTATTCTGGAAAGAACACACTGACAGCTGCCCAGCGTCTGCCTGGAGAGTGCCCTCAGGCAGCGCCGAAGGTGCATCCATGAGCCCTCCCCAGCAGCTCCCCTCTTGAGAGTGGAGAAACCGAGGCACGTAAGGCCAAGGCCATGCAGCAAGGTGGGAGGAGAGGCGGCGTGGGGAGGCTGGTTGGAGAGCCAGCGGAGAGAGTAAGAGGGATGAGGGAGGGGAGGAGACAGAGCGGAGGGGAGGCCAGGGGAGGAACAGGCAGTCAGCTGAGATGGGAGGAAGGACATGGAAGGACAGGAAGCACTTTCAGGAGAAGGAAAGGAAGGCTGTCACACCAAGGCTGTGGACAATGGCCTGGGCAAGACCTCCGATCCCTGTCTCCGGTGAGCTCTCGGCGAAGGAGACGCCCGCCCCTGCTGCCTAAGCAGCCTCCCGGTTATCTGACCTCCACCCCTTGGGCTCTATTCAATGCTCTTGCTCTTGGGGGGGCTGCTCACCTGCAAGTGCAGCGAGCGCAGGCTCGGGGGCAGAGGCCCGGGGATGGAGTCCAGAAGGTTGTCAGCCAGATAGAGGAACTGCAGCTTCTCTAGCGCCTAGGGAGGAGGCAAAGGGCACGGGAGGCTGGCAGGTGCTGCTGGACCCAGCAGGGACGGGTGCCTGATGTGACCCCATTCGTTCCCTGAGGGTCTCTTGAGCCTCAGCCACGTGCCAGGCTTGGCACTGGGGGCTGCAGGGGACGCCCGGTCTCTCGGGAGCTCACAGGCACTAACTCCCACCGGATGCAGAAGGATCGATCATGCCTGCCACTGGGGTCTGGCAGCTGGGGGGGGTGGGGTTGTGAAGGAGCTGGTCAGCTGCAATGAGGAGCGGGTGAGGGGCGGGCAAGGGGCAGGGGTGGCGTGAAAGGGAGGACAAGGGGACAGTTCAGTCCGGCCTCAACCCTTCTGCTATCAGAAAGGGATTTTCCCAAAAGAAAAGTCTCCAAATGTTAAACCCGGGATGGCTGTGAAGAGCATGTTCAGGAGACATCCAGAGCCACCGAGTAAGAGCCACAGGCACCCAAGGCAAACTACGTCTGCTGGGGGGCAGTCGTGACCATGCAGCTCTTCATCTCCGCACCAGAGCTACTCCTGGAGCTCATCCGAGCCCTGTCGAGCGGGCAGCTGCTGGGGCCCAATTTGTGCCCGGTGTTTAGCCCTTCCCATCAGAACCGGCCAGCCAGCCATCAGTCAGATTGTCTCCCTTAAGCACTTGCTCACAGAAAGACAATGATTAGTTAGTGATGGGTTTTGGAAATAAAGGTTTCTGTAGAGTTAGGCTTTGGAGTCAGCACTATTGCAAGTCACATGCAAGCCAATGTTTTCGGGGAGCAGAAGCTGAGGGTGCAGACAGGTGAATGGAATGGATGCACGGAGAGAAGCCAAGAGGCGTGTGCCCAGTAGAGGGAGAGGGAGAGCTGCTGACCTTGGCTTCTGATGCCCCCCAACCCCCCCATTTCCAAGAACAGGCCCATGAGGCCTGAATTTCCTTCTCCTGGCGGTTCTTGGGCTGGCATGTTGTTAAGCACTTTCCTGAGTCAGAACTGGTCTCTTGCAACAACAACAAAAAAGTTTAATAAAACAATGGGAACAGATGAAGAAAATGGGGTTTGATTTTCAGACCCAGAACAGGGTTGGAGCCGGGCTGTCCCAGGAGGGCATGGTGTGTGTGTGTGTGTGTGTGTGTGTGTGTGTGGCCGTGGGCATGGGTGGATGTGGGAGATGGTGGGCTACACGCCCTGGCTCACCCTGAATGCTTCGGGCTGTATCCCCGAGCTCTGGAGCCGGTTCAGGCGGACGTCCAGGACCTCAATGCTGGCGGGCAGCATGGGCAGAGCTGCCAGTTGGTTCTCTGGGAGGATCAGATCCTGCAGGGCAGGCAACAGCCGGAGAGCATCATCATCAATGGAGAAGATGGAATTGCTGGAAAGGTCAATCCTCTTCAGTTTTGCTGTGGGGCATGGGGGAGAACACAGGGAGACACAGGACCTATCATCTTTCCTTGCCCCTGCTGGACCCCCCTGTACCCTGCTCCATCCCTTTTAAGATGGTGAAGGCCAGCCAGTTCTCCACCTGCATGAGGTCCCAGCAGGGAGAAATAACGTCATAAACCAGGACCCCCTGGGAAATCCCTCAGATTCTGCAATACACAACTCCTATACCTGGAGTTCTATCCTCTGTGGTGGCTGCCCACCTTGGATGGGTTTGGTAGAGGCAAGACCCAACAGGCCCACCGATGCCTGGACCCATTCCACCCCCACCTTTCACCGCTGGTTTACATAAAAGCATGCCGTGGCCCAGAAGGCTGTGGGAATTAGTGGCAGAGTCTGGATGAGAGCCCAGGTCTCCTAGCTGAGGCAGAGTTTAAGGCATAAAGGAGCAAAACACACAACAAACAACAAACAGGTAAACAGCATCAGGGCTATGGAGCCGATTTAGCCTGGCCTTGTCCAGAGGCCAGGAGGGTGCAGAGCTACAGTGGCTCAGAATCCTGAAAATGTAGGCTTGATCCTATCTTCCCCTTCCCAGCTTTCCAGAGCTTTGGGGAGAACAAATGAAAACAGGACATTTTTATTACCCAAAATCTTCAAGGGAAGGGATTAGAGAGACTTGGGGCTACTTCCATTTGGTACTGGGGAGACTGAAAGCTAACAGGGAAAGCCTAACTCAGGTGGGACACCGTGTCTGTGACTGTTCATGTGGCTGGCGGGGGGGGGGGGAGGGCAGGGGGCCTGGGGGTTCCCTCTGCCAGGCCTGCCCTCGTCTTCTGCCAGGGCACCACATACTCAGCCCTTGGAAGTCTCTGGCGCGGATCTGGCGGATGCGGTTGAAGCGGGCGTACAGGTAAGCAGTTGTCTTGGGAAGAGGAGGGATGTTCTCCAGGTCAGTATCGTCACAGTACACGGAGGAACCAAGGCACACGCAGACCAGACATGTGGGCAGGCCTGGCCCGGGTGGAAGACAGAACAAAGGGAGACTCTTCTCAGACCTCCTTTAGCCTCTGGGACCAATGGTGCTCACTCAGGGAGCGGCTGAGCCATGGCCTGAACAGAAGGTCACAGTGCGCTAAGGCACAGCTGTTGGCTGCTCCCAGCCTGGCACTCAGCCCCCAACCTAAGAGAGGCAGATCCATTCCCAGTTATTACCCAGTCCCGGACCCCTGGTGCTTTTATCAGGCTCCAGTCCTCTGTAGGTTTTTCTGGGCCTAGATGGGTGTTTCTAGGACATCCATCGGTCTCTTTTCTATAAGGCTCCTCTCTGGCCCCAAAAGGCACAATGACGATGAAATAAAGCCAGAATTAAGTGGACTGGCCAAGAGTTGCTCGCTCTGCCAGCTGCCTTGTGGGTGAGGAGTGAGTCATGTTCTGTATGGCTCTGAGAAGTGCAAGAAAGCCAAGGTGGAGTGGACACTGCTTGCCCAGAATTCATTTCCCCTTCTTAGGGGGTCAGCATCCCAGTTTTCTGTTGGGCAACAGCTCTCTCCTGTTCTCATTCCATGACCAGTGGTCATCAGACATGGGCCAGGCCATCCAACCCAAACTGGCTTTAGAAAGTTGGGAGGCTCTACGGGCTCATAGGCCTGAAGAGTGCAGGTGGTTTCCATCACTCGCCATTACAAGGGACAGAGATAATGGGAGACCAGCAGTCGTCCAACTCAAGGGGGAGGTCGGCTAGCAGTGACACAGCCCCACAGTGAAGAGGCAGCTCTTCTTTGCAGGCAGTGACCAGGGTAGGTGGAGCAGAGATGATCTCAGCGTCCTTCTTAGCCCAAGGCCTTGAATGACACATCCAGCTGAAGCCCTTTATGGTCTCTTTAAGCCCGAGATCCTGTAGCTCTGAGCGGTCACAGCTTCCTATTGATGCCCCAATACCCTAGATCCACCCAAGGCAAATATCTCAAGAGAATAGGAGCCAGGGACAAGCAAGTCAGGAATTAACTGCATCCCTCCTCTGCTCCAGTCCTGATGCCCAGCAGAGCGCCAACCCTTCCCTGCCAGATATGCCAGCATCCCAGTCTCCAGGAGGTCATCAGGGAGGGGGAAAGAGCTGCTAAGGGGGGAGTTTAGAGCCGAAAAGCAGTATGACTGCGTCATTTGCCCCCATGCCAAGTGACAGCCACGAAGTTATTTATTCTTCTCGACAGGCTTTTAATTGTCTCTAATCTAATTACCACTCAACCTGGTCCCCTAGTGATGCTGTTAATTAAGGTAGGGTGGCTCTGCTAGGCATAGCAGAGTGCTGACTTTTTCTTTTTTTTTTCTCCCTCCTATCCAATGTGTGCATTCGGCCAAAAGCATTAGGGATAGCCAGCCTCCCCTTTTGGGTTTTCTTTCTTTTTTTCTTTCTGTTCGTCCTGTGGCTATTTCTCCTCCTCTCCCTTACAGTGAGGGCTAGCCCCAACTTTCACTCCCTACCCTGACCACACTTCACCATGGTAGGCCCGGTGCCGGGTCATGGCTGCATGGCCTGTGACCCATGTGCATCGGGACCTGTGACCGTGAACTCACCGTGGCTGCTTGGCGAGTCCAGGACGCCCAGCATCGTAGGCCGGCTCATCGCGGGCTTTGAAGAGCGTGTCCTCGGGGTCACTGTGCTCTGTGTGGAACCAATCCTGGTTGGAGGAACCAGGCTGGTCACTATGACCTGGAGACAGAGCACACAGCATACAGTAGGCGAGTTTTTGCCTGAGAAGCACCTTATTTTGAACTCTGGGGGCCTCAGTGACCAGTTTCAAACTTGCGAAGAGTCGCTGAGGAGAAAGGGGGAGGGAGGAAGAGAACTCCCCAAAGAGCAGCATCTTCCTTATATGGAGAAGGAAATGGGCCCAGAGAGGGGCACTGACCGCCCTCACACAGCTAATGGGTGCAGGCTTTGGATCAGCCCCTGCAAAGGCCAGGAAGGGCCAAGAAAGGACTTCAGACTAGAAGACAGCCTAAGAGCAGACGGGCTCGTGGGGCTTCTTTTTCTCTCGAGAGTATGAAGACATGGCTGCCGCCCGCCCCTCCCAGTGATATATGGCTTATGGGCTGACTTAAAGGCAGGGGGACAGATAACAGGACTTCTAAGCGGGGGAGGATCCCATCAAGTTTACTACAAACCAGCTAAGAAACGGAACTTTGGTTATCCTCTCTCTTAGTATCATCTAAGTGACAAGTTCCTACGGAGCCACAAGTGTCTCCTCTTCCTGGAGAAAGAACGGAGCCTTGGAAGGCCTGCACGGTGGACAGCTGCAGAGGGGCCGGGCCCCGGACGCCCAGTGTCTTGCAGGGAATGCTGCCGGTCTGTTGTGTGCCCCTTACCTCGGGGAGCTGGTCCCCATAGTCCATGAGCCCCTCATAGTCGCTCAGGTCAATGACCTCATCGTAGTTGTCTGGGCCCAGGTCATAGTTGCCCAGGACTGCGTAAGAATCGCCTTCCCCGAGCGTCTGATCTCTCCGCTTCCTCTCCTTGGGGAGAGAAGCTGTCCCTGCCCCCAGCAGCACCAGACCCAGCAGTCTCAGGAAAGCCGGGAGTTTCATGGGGGCCCTGGGAGGAGGTGGCAGCAGAAGTGAAGATGGGGCTGAATCACCTCAGCGTCCAGTCCTGGGGAGTGGGCAGGAGGAAGGGCAGCCGTCTAAGAGACAGGGCTCTCTCGAGCTTCGGCTTCGTGGGAACCGCTCACAAACTTACCCCGCTTCCCGCCCCCACACTTGCAGACCCCCGCCATTCATGATACACTCAGTGCAGTGCGTTCATTGCATGTGCAAGCCCCCTAAAGGCTGGGGCTATCTTGGGGCGAGCATCTCCGGCCAGGCCCTCCCACTGCCAACCCCACTTTAGTGCCTACGTGCTCACAGACACACTTCTATTCACTCACACAGTCGAGTGTAGACACCTGGCAAAGGCTCGTTTACTCCTCGCATGCACACCCCCTCCTACTTGGGCACACTCTCGTGCATTTATACGGATGTCCTCTCTTGTACAACCACACACACAGAGTACAACCATTAGTCACTAAGCTAGGTTTAGAGAAACTTCATCATCAAGGAGTCTTGTGGCTTTTTAAAAGATTATTCATTCACTCACCCCTTTGCTCAACAAACATTTATGGGGTGTCTATTATGTTCCGGGCACTGGACTTTTCTCTGGGGGTGCAGAAATAAATAGGGCACACCTAGTGCATTCAGAGGACATGGGTTTAAAAGCTGACATATAGCCTAAAAAAGAATGTTGGTTTATAAAATATACTTTCTAAATGCAGCTTTTTGGAAACAAATGATGACAGAAACAAAAGTGTTCTTTGTATGTGATTGTGGGAGTATGTCCACATCTAGAGCATTCCCTAGGTGTCTGCGTGTGTGCACAGGTGATTGTGTACGTGCGCAATGAGCATGTGAGTGCGTGATGAGCGTGTGTCCATTTACGCACATATGCACGGAGAGGGGAAGGAATGTGTGTGGTGTGGGTGTGAGGGTGTGTTTGTGATAGTGCACAAAGCCAGCTGCGTAAGTGTCTAGCAGATTCTCCCCCTGTTAACTTTAGCTGGGCTAGGGGTAAGCCCTCTGCAGTAGCAAGAGTGAGCTCTTCATCAGAGCCTTCCCCCACTCCCACCCTCCGACTTCCCTTGCTTAGAGCCCTAAACTCCTTCCATCCCCCCCAATCCTGCCCACCTGCACCCCGGCCCCTCATGTGCATCCCAAAGGGGCCCAAGGGCCTCAAACCTTGAACCTTACCCCGTGGGTGCACGCACTCTTGTTTCAGAACCAAGCCTCGCAGCTTCCAGAGAAGTGGGGACGCTGGTGGAAAGGCCGTCTGTGGGCCAGGGTACAGGCAGGGGAGCTGGCTGAGACCGGCTTGTGGCCAATCAGACTTCTCTTCTTCCTGGTGTCCAGCTGTTTCCCCTCCTCTCTGCTCAGCGGGTCCCCCATCCCAGTCTTTTGTTTGGTGAGAGGGCGTTCTCTCTCTCTCTCCCTCTACCCCCTCCACTCCCACGCTCATATGTACCCCTCCCCACCTCCCACCCTGACCTCTCCTTCTCCTTCTCTGTCCGCTGCTTTTCTCTTTTCCAAGCCACTGTTGAGAGGCCTGGCAGTTTCTTCTCTCTAAGGGAGCAGGCAGCAGGTGATGGAGCACTCAGAGGGATGGGGCTTGCCTCTCTAACTTTTTTCAGATGGAATCCAAAGATTCAAAGAGGCTGAGTTAAGGCACTCTGACCACACTGCCACCCACCACCTGGAGCCCCAACACGGGACCATGACTGAACCAAAATCACCAGAGGGAGGCTCTGGTCCAAGAGAAGGGGGATGGGGGATGAGGTAGGATTTGAAGACCAATTTCAAGTTCCCAAATGATGGTGATGATGATGATGGCGGCAAGGAGGATACAAGAACTCTCCATCTGCCGAGGTTGGGCCCCAATCATGAACACCAGAAGCCACTGTGTGGGGGGGCCTAGATTTCCTGACGCCCAGGCCAGAGAGTTGTCCTTTGTTCATATGACCCTGCCCCTTTTCACCTTATCCCCCCTACCCTGCACACCCCAGTTCCGAGACCATGTGCCTTGATGTCCTCGGAACAGATGGCCTTGGCAGGACTCATCTCTGCCCTGGGCCTGCCAGGTGAAGGGGCAGATCGCACAGCCTGGCCCAAGGTGCAGTGCTTGGCCTGTGGTGTTCCTGGGCGCCAGCCGGTGAGGAGGCGGCATCCCCCAGCCCAAGGACCTGGTCACCAAAGAGACGCCTGTTCCCGTGCCCCTGGCAGCCCACCATCTGGGGAGAGGCACCAACAGGGGCTCTGCTGGGTGGAGGGGGAGGCAGCCCAGGAGCCAGCAGGGTGCCCAGGAAGCAGATGGTACATTTGGCGCGCTGTCCTCCCCGACTTTCTCTGCACAGCCTGGGCTTTGCAGGCGGAGACTAACCCTCCCCCAGGCAGGCTGGGCTCGGCTCCCCCTCCCCGTCCCATCCCACGCCTTTTATTCCCTGCGAGGAAAGCAAATGCGACTGTTCATTCATTCCCCCTGCCGCCTGCCCCCACTCTCCCTCCCCACTTTCTCAGAGACACGCACCCGCAATTGGTCCTCCCCCACGCGCTTTTTAAGCAATTCGGCCCCGCAGGCACAGCTAGTCTCCTAGGGCGCATGCGCAGGCTCCCCCCCCTCGTCCCCCCTGCACCCCAGGAAAGAGCCCCTTGGGCGCAGTAGTCTCATCTCAGACCCTCTCCCAGCTTCTACTCTCGCTTTTACAAGCTCGCCCGTCACACGCTCTCGTTCCCGCGGAGTTCAGGACTGTCCGTGGCATGCGTGTGTGACCTGCGTGGGAACGCGCTAACCTTCATGCTGTTGTGGAATGTGGCTCCGCTCCGTGGGGGCCTGCGCGAGGGGTCCAGAGGTGCGGGACCCTTCTAATCCCCGTGTCTCATTAGGAGAAGCACAAAGCATGCTGACGGAAAGGAGGTGGCAGGCTGTGGGGACAAGAGTCTGGCCAGCTGACCCTGTTGCTGCCCCTTTCATGGGCGGGCATGGAAATTTCAGGAACCCTCCTGCTTTTTGGACAACAGGGATATATTCCCTGCTGAGGACCTGTAGCCACATAACTCTGTGACCTAAACGCATTCCTCTCCCTTCCTCAGGCACTACTCCATGCCTTCCTAACTTTTGGCTCATGCTGTTTCCTCTCCTGGTTTTGTTCCCCCCGCTTCCCCCACCAGGCCAAATCTGATTCATCCCTGAAGATCCAGCTCAAATGACAGGAGCCATTCTGCTGTCCCTCCACAGGGGTAGAGGCCCTCTCCACCGTGCTCTTTGTACACTGCATCACTACAAACACTTAGGACATGGGATTACTCCATGGACGTTCCCCTTTCCCAAGCTAAGAATTCCTCACGGGCATGGACCCAGATATTACCTAGCCTTGAATTCTTGGCTGGGAACCTCAAACACAGGCGAGGTCCACTGAAAGCCTGCTGAGTTGAACTAAGCAGGTGTTAAGGAGGCAGAGTGGGAGGGGTGGGGCAGCATCTGGCAGTTTTCATTCTAAAGAAAACGGGGGAGGGGGCAGGGGGGATCACAAAATCACTTCTGAGTCAACCTTCTGTCTGAAGACAGACTTCCGGGCCCCCGGTTCACGCCCTTCGGCACGGCCTGGAGAACCTTTGTCCTTCACCCCCCGATACAGCTCTGCGGCTACTTTGTCTTCCCTATGCCGCAGCTCTGCAACTAGCCTGTAAATTGCCCTTGGTGGGAAATCGTGACTGTTTTGTGTCTTTCAGCATCTGGCTCTGGACTGAGCATTTGGGAGACGCTCAACAGTTTGATATCTGTGGTTTGAAAGAATCTGAGCCTCTGGGCTTCAAATGTAGCTATCAGATTTCTGATCTGACTTCCGGAATAATTTTTCATGACGGTTGTGAAGTTTGGCGGAAATTTGCCAAGAAAAGGCTTTGGAATTGTTTTCTTAAGAGTTTCTTAGGAGTGGGATCCTTTCTCCACCCATCTCCTTGGAGCCAGGTAAGAGGTGGGAGGTGGGGGAAGAAGGGTGGCAAGAGAACTTCAAAGTATTCTTGACTTGTTCACGCTGTCAGGTTGAAGCAGGATGTTTTTCATATTCCTTTATTTCCTCTGCTGTGAAGCGTGTTGGAGTGTAAAAGTTTGTTTCACAAAGTTAACAGGGTTTTGAAGAAGGAACAGATATATGTAGAGTAACCTACACATCTACTCACACACCTGTCTACGTAGGTGCCAATGGCACTGAAAGAATGAACTTGTGGATGGAGGAGGGGCTTCCTAAAATCCCCGGGAAGTCAGCACATTGTATGCGTGTGTGTGTGTGTGTGTGTGTGTGTGTGTGTGTGTGTGTGTGTGTTGGGAGGATGTTGCTTAAAGGCAATTTCACCTGAATCCCCTCTGGCTTACAGCTGCAGGGAGCAAGGGAGGAAGCAGACTTCATCTAGATGGGGGGATGGGATGATGGTGATTGTTTTGCTGCTGAAACAAAACAGTTTAGGTTTGGGGAGCTGAAATGCCCCCTGCCCCCAGGGAGACCCCAGGCGCTATGCTCCCCTGAGGGGCAGAGGTTGCAAGGTGTGAGGACGGTGCAGAAGCGGGGCTTATCCAGGCCTTAGCACCAGGTTGCTTATAGCCACGATAAGATATTGACTTTAAGCAGGAGCCTCGGAGAAACCAGCAGCAGCCAGGAAGGATGGGGCATTATATGGGAGCACGAGGGAAGGAGGCTAAGAGGAAATGGGCCCTGTTTTCTGTAAATGAGCAAAAGAGAAAGATGAGACAGACTGTAATGGGAATTTCTTGAAGTTAGGGACCTAGCTTAATCCAATTTCTTAAAAATCTCTGGAACTTTTCTTAGCCTAATGAGGCTGGGCATGTGTCCTGCTTACTTCTGGAACATCCACCCCCCCCCCCCGCCAACATATACAGTAGGGAGCTATAGAGGGGCAGCATCTCCTGGAGGAGTGAAGGAGAAGGGGAAGGTGAGTGAGCCCTGTGGGGCCCAGGCTCTGCTTGGAGGCCAGCCAAGCCACTCACC